CATATGGTTCCCACCCCGATGGACCTTCCACCTTTTACCACATACCGCATCCTGGGCGGATGTAAGCTTTGCTAATCGCGCTGCCCGATGCAGGCCTAGCAACTTGGCGTCGGAGAGCGCCTGAAAACTTCAGTTCGTCCGTTCGAATTGGCTCTTCCTCCTCCTCCTCCTCCTCCTCCTACTACTCATCGTTGTCATCACCATCATCCTCCTCTCCCTCCCTCTCTGCTCGTGGCGCCTCGTGTCAAGCCAAAGGCCGATATACCCAGGTCAAACATATGCTTCAGGTCAGAGGGCCAGCAACCACTGTAAACAACATGTTTCTCATGCTTGTTTGTTGAATTTCTGTGGGCCGATGCGCGCCCAAGCGGACAAATTTACAAACGCCTGAGAAGCAACAGCCTGAAACGCATGTTTTTGTTTACAGTGTTTGCCAGCCCTGTGACGCGGAGCACAAGGTTCTTACAATGGTCTGCGGTGAGATCCCGCTCGTGCGGAATCCTGAAAGTCGCGTGCCGTGTTCTTCCTGTTCTTCCTCATCCTCATCCCCCCTTTTGTTCCGTTCCTCGTCCTCTTCCTCGTCTTCTCCTTCCTCCTCATCATCATTATTATCCTCCTCCTTTCCTCCTCATTCGCCTTCTCTTCCTCTTACTCCTGCTCCGCAGCCCCCCCCCCCCGCCTTTCCGCATCGTCGTTCTTCTCCTACTCCTCGCCCTCGTCCTCTCTCCCGGCGACCTCGCAGTGGTTGGGGGGCGACCGGGCACATGCGCAGTCTCGCTGTCGACGTTGCTCCCATTCGATCGTGTAAGAACCAACGCGCATGAGTGAAACGATGGACGTGGCGCGGCGAGGTCGTGATGTGCATGGTGGTTGCGTATCTGAACTGTCGCTTGAAACTTCATTCGAGCTTTCGTCGCAATGCCTGGGGGAAAACAAGCAATGATAATAATACCCGGATGATGATTAATGACGATGGTGCGGGTGATGGCGGTGGCGTAGGTGGCTTGCCCAAATCGATGGATCTCGCTCAAACTTGATGGGTCGTGCCAGGCCTGCGCCATCAGTCGCCGCGCGCACGCGGCAGGCGACCGCGACGCGCGATCGGAAGCGCAAGACTTAGTTCGAGCGGTGGATCAAGAAGCCACGGGTGAAAGCGGTGGTTCGGGAGTTCAGTGGGAGGTGTCACAGTGCGTGGAAAGCGCCGATGCGGCCAACAGGCGGGCCGAGATCGCCGCGAAAGTCCCCGCCAAGCACAAGGTTTGGTCAGCGCGCTGCGGCCGCTGGCCGACAAGGCAAGAACGCTCGAGACAGCCGGTGCCGAGCTTAAGCAGAAACGCGAGAAGGCCGAGCTGCAAAACAAACACGAAGCGGAGACAACGAGGCAGGAGCAGATGGAACACAAAAGGACCAACGACCGCCAAACAGAAAAAGCTCACCCACCGTTGCCTCGTGGGGCCCTTTTTTCTAGCCCCCTCTGCCCCTCATAGACAGCCTTGCTCTTTGAGCAGCAGGCGCCTTGGAGCCCGCCCGCTCCCGCAGGAGAAGCTGCGCAAGCTGACCTCCCAGCGGCCCTTCGCTTGGCTCGCCGAACCCGCCGAAGTGGCGCCTCGCTGGCGCTGCGCCGCGAGCCCGAACCCCGACTGCCGTCGTTCCGTCAGGAGCGGCCCCCTTTGGCGCGCAGTCAAGTCAGCGCGCTCACGCAGTAGCCGCGGCCCGCAGCACCAGGCCGATATAGCCGACGGGAGAAACGAGCTGCTTGCAACAAGTCTGCCCTGCTGCTCTCCCCCACCTTTCCGCCTCGCTTAACCAATAACCCCAGGCACAACGAACCAAAACGGAGATCCGACATGTGATCCCCATTTTTTATCTTGAGTGCGCATGTGTCAGACGAGCGCACGCCATCGCGAAGGAAGCGACACCACGGACAACAACAATAAACCTCACGGGAACTTTGCCCTCGAGGGCTGCGGACGGCGGTAGCAGTGGGGAAAAGACGAGATTGTTACGCGCACGAGAACGGCAAGAGCGTCACGTTTGCTGGTCCGCCTCGGCGTGAAAACGCGCCTCACGGAACTCCCCGTGGTCTCGCGTCGATGGCCGGAGTGATCAAAACAGCACGTCAAAAAGCGGTCGTTTCTCGTCTTCGACAGCCAGGAACCAGCTGACTCAACAATCAAACGGCTCGGTTTCCGCTGCGCCCCACCAGTGGGCCACAGCGCTGGGTGGCGAGATCGATCCACGGGCTTCAGCAGCAATGGCATCGAGAACGGAGGCTCTCGCATGATGATGTGGTTGCATGCCTGCTACAACAAGATGCCCGTGCTGGACGCAGCGGCCAGCGATGCAGTCTGGGCAACAGATCGAGAGAGTGCGCCCTGCGAGGAAGATCAGATCGTACCGTCGCCTGGTCTAGCCGATTCTGCCCGTTCTGTACACCCGGGGAAGCCGATGGCAGCTGCAATGACAGCGCGAAAGTATGCCCATAGTGGCGCGTATTGCCCATCTCGCTTTTGCTAACTTTTCAACCGCGCATCGCGCATGCTCCCCTTGTGCAGCGCGGGGGCTAATGCGGCCAGATGTCACCACTTGTACCATGCGGAGACAACGGAAACGTGCGCACGTGGAAACAAGTGGAGGGCCCTTGGGGGGTACCCACACACGTGTATATACACATAACTGTAGCTGTATTCGTATCTATACATATATCATATAGTACACGCTTACATCTACATGCCTACATGCGTATACACATATACACGTATATATATAGACATATACGTATATGCATATGTACGCTCATGTGTATATTTCTATGTATATGTATATGAATATGTATATGTATATTTGTGTAGGTATATACTTATATATGTTACATATGTATATATGTATACATGTGTAACATATATACATACACACGCCGCCGTGCCCAGAGTGGGGTGTCCCCAGGTCTCTTGCTCAGCCCCTGAGCCTCAGTCTTCAACCCTGAGGATTCTCCCAGGGGCCTGGACCTCGAACTTCCAAATCTTCTGGGGCTCCAGTGTACTCGGGGGGTACGTAGCCCCGCATCACTTCTCCAGGGCGAAGAACCAGAGGGCCCCAACACGGGCCAAGGGGGCCCGAAGAGGCAACCTCGACGGTGCAAGGGCGCCCTGAATCGCCGCACGGTTGGTCCAAGACGTTCAGGATGGCCTCACGACGGCCCAAGAGGCCGTCGAGGCGCCTCAAGGGAGTCCCAAGAGCCTTCCCAATGGGGCTCCAGCCAAAGGCATCGAGTTCCCCTTTTGGCTTGTCTACGATTTGAGCGTTCTCGCCTTTTCGTCTTCCAGATGCTCCAAGATGGCCCAAGAGGCCTTCGCGATCACCCAAAGACTGCCCATGAGGCCCCCAAGAGGGCCCCAAGAGGCGCCCACGACGGCCAAAAACAACACCAAAAAAGACCCAAAAGGGGGAACACGAATCGAACATCCAAGTCTTCCGCCCCAAGATGCCCCCAGAAGGCTCCAAGAGCCAAGAGGCCCCCGAGAGGCCCCCAGCCTGCCCCCAAGCGGCCCCAAAGAGGCCTCAAGACGCACCCAAGACGCCCCAAGATGTTCCAAAACGGCCCCGAAGAGACTTAAAATTGCCTCCGCGAGGCCCCCGAGAGGCCTTCCGCGACATCCCAACGAACATCCTCGAGGCCTATGGCCCACAACCCAGGTACGGTAGCAGGACGTGCCCAAGGCCGTTCGTGTATGTCTGAATGCATGCATGATGTATGCATGTATGTATGCATGAATGTATGTATGCATATATGCAAGCATGTATACCTGTCTGTCTGTCTGTCTGTCTGTCTGTCTGTCTGTCTGTCTGTCTGTCTGTCTGTCTGTCTGTCTGTCTGTATGTGTGTAGGTAGGTGTGTGTATGTATGTATGTATGCATGGATGTATGTATGTATGTATGTATGTCTGTATGTCTGTCTGTTCGTCTGTCTGTCTGTCTGTCTGTCTGTCTGTCTGTCTGTCTGTCTGTCTGTCTGTATGCATGTATGTATGTATGTATGTATGTATGTATGTATATGTGTCTATGTATATATGTCTGTCTGTCTGTCTGTCTGTCTGCATGTATGTATGTATGTACGCATGCATGCGTACATGCATACATGTACGTACGTATGTATGTATGAATGCAGACATGCATGCATGCATGCATGCATGTATGTATGTATGTCTGTCTGTAATGAGAGGGGGAGAGAGGGAGAGAGAGAGAGAGAGAGAGAGCAAGAGATAGAGAGAGAGAGAGAAAACAAAAGAGAAACCTATACATTACAAAAGAAATAGAAAGAGAGAGGGGGAGAGATAAAGAGAGACATATAAGCACATCCTTGGACAGAGAGGCAGATAAAGAGAGAGAGAGAGAGATAGGGCGAGAGAGGGGGGGGAGAGAGAGAGAGAGAGAGAGAGACAGAGAAAATGACACGCTAGAGAACGGGTGGGGAGGGCGGCACAGAGCGACAACGATAGCAACGACGAAAAAATCAGAAGTAAACGACCAACGAAACGACACTTCCGAGCGCCAGCCGCAAATCGGCGCGCTGGCGTGAACCCTCGACGCCGGCGCTGCCAGGAAGGGCGGGGGCGGGGAACCCGAGGGCTTGGGGCCCCTACTGGGCCCTAGACTTGGCCAAAACCAACGCGTTTCCCCGAAGCGCCGACGTCGGCTTCTCCACTTTTGAGCGGCCCTGGGCAAGAGTGACCCCAGACGCCGACCCTGCACGCAAGAGTGACCCCAGGCAAGAGCGACCCATGGTGCACGACTCTGCGGGGCCGCGGGCAGGCCGAAGCCGAGCGCGCAAGCGGCTGCTACCGCATCGCGTTCAGCCATCCGGGGACCCCACCGCTGCCCGCACCAAAGATCACGTTGGCGGCGGGTCACTCTTCACGTGCAGCCGAGTGTGATTCAGGTCGGCCGAAACTTCGGGCGGCGCACAGATGCTCCTGTTTCTGCTCCCCGCGCGCGCGCACCTCTGATCTTCACCTCCTTCGACGGCGCATTCAGCCTCGGAGCGCTGCTCGAGCTGCTCACTGGCGGCGGTTGCCCGCCGAGGGCGGGAGGGGGGGAGGTGAGGAGAGGGCGGGGGTGGGAGGCGAGGGGGGGGGAGGAAAAATACGGGGAGGCGAATGAGGAAAGTGTGGCAAGCGAGGGACGATAGGGGGCGCAGGACGAGAGGGACGAGTGGGAGCGCTTCAGTAGGACACCTGATTTAGCATGGGCGGCCGCCGCCCTTTGCCAACCTCTCTGCCTGCACTGCCGCGTTCGCCTAATTCCCGTACGTCCGCCTGGTGTCATTGCGGCTGCGTTTGGAGCCTTGCTGCGCACGCAACAAGCACCATCAATCTGTTTGCCCAAATGTACCAGGGGTTGCCGCGCGATCGCGCCAGATACACATCGGGCACACACCCCGACCCCTCCGAGTCCCCCTCCATTCCCACCAACGACGATCAGTCCCCGCAAGGAGGCAGCATTAAGCCAAGTAGTCCCCAGATCAGCAATAATGATGTTCGTCGGCAATGGTTTATGAAGTTATTGGTGTTCAGTTTGTACTGGAGTACTGACTGGTACTGGCCCCACGCTGCACCTCGGAAACGTAGGTCTTGTGGACATGGCTGTAATGTCTGGTAAGCGAACGTGTTAGGACAAGTGCGTATACACAAGGGCGCCCGGCCAAGGCGAGGGGAGGGCGCGCGCGTGCTGGTTTTCTATCAATGAACACAACTAGCTGCAGAAAACAACAATTCCAATATCATCGTGAGAAGAGGCGACGCCAACCCTCTGGAGGAGGGTATTGGCGGCACGGCAGAACTAAGCGAGGGGGGCGTAAATAATGGCCCCCCCCCCGCGGCCGTCAATGCGCGGGGCCTCCGCGCAAAAACGGGAGTCAACACAGTGGCTAACGCCCAGCGCCCTGGGCAAGCCGCCTGGGGCGCGAAGGCTAATGACACTAGGAGGGCGTTAAATTTTTTTCAGCAGGTCCTTCGGATGACGGATTTCACTCCACACCGAGGCGCATTGGCCCCCACGGCGCCAACCGCAAAAACGTTGAGCGGCGCCCATGGGAAGGGCGGAGTTACTCCCGACATTATCAATAGGATTACCTGAAGCCGATCAACGCACTCCCCACCTGTAAAAAGTACCTTCGCGCCGCGCCCGCCTTCTAGAACGCTCGTCACACAGTAACAATACGTCCTCCCTCACTTGCAGGACGATCGTCACAGAATGACGGGGCGCCCCCCTCAACGCCAAGAGCCGCGCAAGTCGTCATCATAGCCCCACCTGCTGCCCCAGCCCTGCCAGTTCCACCAGCTGCCAGAGCCCCACCACGAGCCGCTTCACGACGACCATGAGGCGTCCTCCTCCTGGCCCCGACGGGGTTCTCATCTTCCTTCGTGATGACGGTCCTTTAATCCTTCGTGGGTTTGAACACCAGTGTGAGAGTCAGATGGGGGCCCGCCGATGAGGCCGCCTGCTAGTCTTTCTCTCAAAAAGTCGGTTCGCGGCGGTGGGCCAACGCCGGTCGGTCCCTGGGCCCCTGACTCCCTCGTCTTTTCAGTCGCGAATTCCTCATCTGCCAGTGCCGGCAGGAGAGGCCCCTCTGCCGCGCTCCACGGAGCTGCCCTTGCCTGGCGATGTCATGCGCTCGGGGACGTTCCGATGGCAGGCTGGACCACATTCGCTATCCAGCCTCGCGGCCCCGCGGCGGTGCTGGATCCGCACCAACGCCCGAGACGTGGTCTCGAGCCGTTGGAGGGTCCCGCGACGCGTGCTTTGGGAGCGTGGACTTTGGCATGGTGACATCCGTCGAGGATCGCAGGTTGAGCGCGATGAGTGCCACGTCCACGATGGTTCCCCAGAAATATCAGATCGCCATCGGGTCATCTTACCCAAGTGTAATTCACCATGTCCTTGTATGGTAGGTACGAGCCCGGTATCCGTTTCCATCAATCAAAATCTTATCGACCTCAACATCCTCGAGGCTTGCGACATAGTCGCGAGACCTCGTGGTGAATATTTCGGTTGATAGCCGGCATGTTGCCGAGTAGTCTCCATGTCAGCTGAAGGGTATTTGTAAGCAGTGATGTATGCTGTTCCTGTTGTTCATTCTGTAGTGCAGTACTGACTACTACTGGCCCCATGTTGTACCTCGGAGACGTAGGTTTTGTGGACATGGCTGTAGTTTCCGGTAAGCGAATGTGTTCGGATAAATGTGTGTGTGTGCACAGGAGCGCCCGACACGGGCGAGGGAAGGGCGCGCGCGCGTGAGCTGCTTTTCTACCACTGAACACAAACAGCTGCAACAAACATCAATGTCACAAGTATCGTGGTGAGAGGCGCCGCCAACCCTCTGCAGGAGGGCACTGTCGGCGCGGCAAGAGAAGGCGAGGGGAGCGCTAGTAATGACTGAGGCCTCTTCCCCTCGACCTCGGGGAGCCCCACCCCTGGAACCTTTCGACCTCCCCTCCACGGCGAATAATCGAGATCGAACCCTCCTCACTTGCCCCTCAGGTCGCGGGAGAAGTGAGGACATAATGACAGGATGACAGGAACACAAAGGAGGATAAGGAGGTGGAGAAGAAAGACAGAGGAGAACCTTGACCCTGCGAGCATACGATCAGAGCCCGTGAAATGCG